GGATACCAGTCTAACAGTACTAATATATTAACTCATCTGACTGATATTAACCTGAAGTCACAACTAGTAACCTTCCCTGACTGATACCAACTTAACAGTACCAAATATTAACCAATCTGACTAATATTACCTAGAGCTGACTGACATTAACCTGACCTGACTGAAATTAACCTGACCTCACCAATATTAACCTCCCATGACTAATACCAACCTAACAGTACCAATATATTAACCCATCTGAATAATATTACCCAGAGCTGACTGATATTAACCTGATCTCACTATTTTAACCTTCTGTGACTGATACAAACTAGAAAATACAAATATATTAACCCATCTGACTGATATTAACCACTCACCACTAGTAACCTCCCTTGACTGATACCAACCTAACACTACCAATATATTAACTGACCTGACAGATATTACCCAGAGCGGACTGATATTAACCTGACTTGCCTGATATTAACCTGACCTCACCAATATTAACCTCCCCTGACTGATACCAACCTAACAGTACCAATATATTAACCCATGTGACTAATATTACCCAGAGCTGACTGATATTAACCTGACCTGACTGATATTAACCTGACCTCACCAATATTAACCTCCCCTGACTGATACCAACCTAACAGTACCAATATATTAACCCATGTGACTAATATTACCCAGAGCTGATTGATATAACCCAGAGCTGACTGATATTAACCTGACCTCACCAATATTAACCTCCCCTGACTGATACCAACCTAACAGAACCAATATATTAACCCATGTGACTAATATTACCCAGAGCTGACTGATGTTACTCAGAGCTGACTAATATTAACCTCCCCTGACTGATACCAGCCTACAGTACCAATATATTAACTCATCTGACTAATATTAACTAGAGATAACTGATATTAACGCTACCTCGCGTGGTTCATCAGCCTTTCGTGGTGACCTCTCTATTACACCCAGAAAGTCTACTAGACATGGCAGTAGTACTTCCAACATCACTACTTCCTGTGAATAAAGTTGTTTGTACAGTGCTTCATATATCACCATAGCTCTGCCGTACCATTTCAGTTCTGAAGCATTCTGTCAGGAATAAATATTAATAAAATAAAATTCAAACTACTGTGAAAACATGAATAAATATCAACATTCCATTTTAGCAAACTTGATTCAAACTATGATTTGAAAAGTATCTCAATTTATGATTATCAATTGATGACATAGTCCCTGTTTGTTTTCAATATTTATAATCTCAATTTGGCTAATGTGCCAACACTCTCAGTGTGGGAATATAATTTATTTTAAATTAGCAACATCTTGAATTAGCAAAATTACAGATTAGCTAAA